TTTTTTTTTTAAGCTCAAGTTTTTTAAAGCCATAAAGTTTTACAGAAATCAACAGTTGTTTTTGCTCTAATTTTTCAATTCTTGTTGCACTTTCTGGTTTTTTACTTGTATAAATAAATTTTTCAGTTTCGTTTTAAAAATTGAAAAGCGTCTCTAAGGGTTTAATGCGCATTTTCAACTTCACTGATTAATTATGAATTCATCTCAGAATTTTACAGTTTCGTGTTAGCAATTTTTCTGATTTCATTTTCTGTCACCTCGACTTTAATAACTACTATTTTAATTTATTTAAATGTTTACTTTTCCTTCTAGGTTTTTAATTAAGTTTAAGTTAAAATTTTTGGATCAAGTAAGAGTTAGTTTTGAGTTAACTATCAGTGCGTACACTCTTGCTACTAAAATATAGGTGTAAAAAATTAGCTTAGGCTTTTTTTTTTACGATAGAAGTTTTGTACGCGCGCTGCGTAATGAAGTCTGTATCAACATTTAAAATGAAATACATTTTTGAAAGTGCTTTTTGTTTTTAGTTTAACAAGAATAAAACTCTCAAAACTATTTCAGATTTTTTGATCATAGCTTTGACCTTTGTTTTTTATTGGAAAAAGAGCCAATTGTTTTTTGTTTATCAGTTTAACATCATTTATTTCTTCAGCGATTATTTGTTCAAACTGCTTTTGATTGGAGACTCAGGCGTGGGTAAATCCTGTTTATTGTTGAGATTTGCTGATGATACGTACACGGAATCATATATATCAACTATAGGTGTTGATTTTGTAAGTTTTTTGCTGTTTATTACTCTTTAATTTGTATTTAGCTCAGTTGGAGATTATTTTTGTCTCATGATATTGTAGCTACAGGTTTGTTGAAAATACGGTAGTAGAAATTTCATTTATTTTTAATTTTTTATTTTTGTGAGTAATTCTTATTTATGTTCAGTTATTTTCTGAGTTTTATATGTCAATAAGGAAACTGGATTTACTTCGCTAGCGCTTTGTGATTATTTTTATTCATTCCAACATTTTTTTGGAGGGACTAAAGTTTTATTATTACTTGGATGAGCATCACACCCTTTAATTTTAAATCGTGACAGTTTTTAAAGGACTGTCTTTTCTATTTTGTAATTTTAGTGATTCTTGATTGCTGTTCTTGTTAGTGTACCAAAAGCTTAATTCGTTCATTATTTCCACTGTACTTCTAATTTACTTTTTTGAGGAAGTATTAGTAATAACAATTCATTTTTATTATCAGGACCTACTCTTGTGATACTTTTGGTGTAATGTTACTTGCTGTTCTTGGAGGTTTCAGCTATTTTTATTTCTAAAGACCATTATTTTCAGAAGATTCGCACAATTGAATTAGATGGAAAAACGATTAAACTACAAATTGTGAGTTCTTTGGGAACTTTATTTAGTTATCTGAGTTAGCAGGGTCTGCGATTTAGGATGAAGGTCTTTAAACTTTTTGGGTATTGTAACGACGTTTTTTCTGCTTGATTTTATCTATGTGATCTAAGTCTTGTATTAATACACTTGATGAAATTGTTTTGTGTTTTATTCACTTGAGTAAGTAAAAAGAATTATCTTTCTAGTGGGACACTGCGGGCCAAGAACGTTTTCGTACCATAACTTCGAGTTATTACCGAGGCGCTCATGGTATTATTGTTGTTTACGACATTACAGACCAGGTACCTCTTTGATTTTATGGAAATCTTATTAGCATAATATCTGCCTTTTAGCTGTATAGTAGCTCCAATAGCTTGTGTAAATTAACTCAACAGTAGCTGTTTAATGGTTATACTTTTTTGCAGGAATCCTTCAATAATGTGAAGCAGTGGCTACAAGAAATAGATCGTTATGCTTGCGAGAATGTAAATAAGCTGCTGGTTGGAAATAAATGCGACTTAACCACGAAAAGAGCAGTTGAACAGAACGCTGCAAAAGTTGGTTCATTATTTTTTTACTTTGGTCAAAGATGTTGAGGCATACTCATTTTTTTGGACAGTTGCATGATTTCAGTTTTGCTAAAATGAAATAATATTGAGTCTTATAGGAATATGCAGAACAATTGGGAATTCCCTTTTTAGAAACTTCGGCCAAGTCTTCAACGAATGTCGAGCAGGTCTGTGTTTTGTTCTTATTTTTTTTTCGTATCTCCGTCTAGTTCGTTTTCACCTTCTTTTAGAGTAGGTCAAACTTTTCGCAGATGAGTGCTATTTAAATGTTTGCAGGCTTTTTTGACAATGGCTGGAGAAATCAAAAATCGTATGGGGCCTGTTCAGCAGGCTGGGACAGGTCCATCTGTTCGCATTGGTGATCACAGGCCGGTCAACGAAAAGAAAGCGGGTGGTTGTTGCTAGTTCTTTTGTGTAATTGGTCAAAGTCTTCTATCCTTTGGACCACATACGCTTGAATTTTTCCCGTTTGACTTCTGTAATTTTTCTGAGTGGGAAATGTGAAAATTTTAAAAATTGGCGACTTTTTTGCATCGACTGTGATGTCTTTTCCTAAATTCCATAAGTTTTGTGATATCCTGGGGGTGTAAATATACCACTTTGTAAAGCAGCGCTTAATTATTAAGTTTCGTATAAGTTTACAGGTTTTTGTAATTTTATAGACCTCATGACATTAATTGTTTAATGTTAGAAAATCGGTTGTAAACGAACTAAGTGCTGTGTTGTGACATAATTGGACATTTTGGTTGCGTGTAATGAAGGGAGTGTGATATAAAATGAGTCATAAACATTATCTTTTTGTCTTAAAATTTATGTTATTAATCAGTTTTTGCTTCATATGCTTGGTTTTAATTTATCAGTTTTGCAGTCTCACTTGTAGAATTTATGGTTTGGAAAACATTTCTTTTAAATTTGTTGCGTGTTGGGGTGTTGCGCTTTTAGCAAGTTAGTTTGATTCCCGTATAATTTTGTGCATGAAAAATAAAACCAAAATTGTGTACTGATAATTGACCTGTGGGATCTCAGTTTAAGGTAGCGAGTGATGGGATGCTTTTCATTTGTGGAATTTTGAAACTTAGTGATATCGTTGTTCAGCTATAAGGTGATGCATAATATTTGCAGATGAAAAGCGGCTTTAAGCGTTTATTTTTTTGCTTCTTGCGGTAGATAATTGGTGAGAAGTTGTTCATATTGTTACCGGAAGGTTTTGAAAATTGGGGTTTGGTGGGCACGGTGCAAAAGGAAAAGAATTTTTTCGCAGTTTCAAATTGTAGATTTTTTGAGTGCTGGAGGTGAGGGCTGAGGTATGCAAAAGTTTTTTATTGTCTGTTTGGGAGTTTTTTTTTGAAAATTGTTGGGATTAAGAAGTCGTCACTGGGGATGTGGAGTTTGAAGTAAGGAGAGGTGAATGTTAATTTATAGTTTCAAGTTTGCTGGTTGTGGTGTTAGCATTTAGAGCAATTGTTTATATTAATATTTGCAATCTAATGGACACTATTTTTTCGATGGATACTGTATTGTGTTTCACTGAGGATCTTATTACACGGATGTTTATTCGTGAGATGGGGATGTATGCATGCTTGTGTATTGAGCTGAACACTATCCGGTAGAAGAGTTTGGTAAATTGATTGTTGGTCGTTGGAAGGAAAAAAACAATTGGTTGTTTGCTCTTCTGATATGTAATTTTAGAGGCCAAGAAATCTCTTGATGTCTGAGTGCTTCAGTTTTTACTATGTTATTTCAGTGATCAAAAGTTTTTGGTAGCTATTTGCGAGTTTTGGGAAAGACGGTGGGGCGGGATGAGCGGTAAATGGCAAAATATAGAGTTATTTAGGTTTACCATATTTGCTGATTTGTTGTACTGATCCATCCCTGACATTTAGTTTTTCGTCTTCATTGTACTGCTTGGTGGCACTAGCGATTTTTTCCTACTCATTTGTTTATTTACCACAAAAAAAAAGTTAGCTTATGGAATATACGATGACTTATGGTTGGGATTATGTACGGTTTTACTAGACGACTTGTTTATATTTGGGTGGAAAAGCAGTTTGTGAAAACATTGAAGGGAATAGTTAATACTCTCATTTACAGTTAGAGGGTAAAATGGCTGAAAATATGAGAGTGCAGCATCAAAAAGGTTTTGCAGCTGGCTTCAAAGATTTCATACGGAGAACTGGGATATGGTATTCTGCCGTTTTTTTTCTCAGATAGCATTGTTGATCAATGGATATGCTACTAGAAATTCACACTGTCATAATGCAGTCTTTTTTGGGGGGGTATTTGCTGAAGCATTTTGGCTTACTCGTAAATTTAGCTATATTTAGTTTGTCTGTGTTTTTTTTTCGTTTTCTTTGGCTGAAAAACCTTTGTTAAATGCTTTGTACACAGGTGATATTTTTTTGGTGTATTTTCAGCGGTTTTTAATTAAACAAACCTCTGTTTTGGTTCTGTTTTATTTAAGTATTGAGAAGCAAAAAAATAAAAAAAGAAAAAAAAAAGTGGAAACAGCAATTTTAGAAAAGATGTTTTTAGTCCAAAAAGAAAAAAAAGCTATGATAATAAGGTTTATTTTATAAACTGGTAAACGTTGGCATTGTATTTGTTTTTTTCTCTCTATCGATGTTACTGCCGATACTGAGTAGCGGTGGTCATTCGGTTTTACATAAAGGATTTACGGACAGTGTTTGCTTCTGGATGCCGAAGTAGTTTTTGTTTTGTTATAAGTAAATAACATTATATTTATGTACACTGTATGATTTGAATGCAAATTTTTGAGTGGCAATTTTCTTTGGCTGTTAAACTGATATTTGGGTACACATAAAACAGCATCTATTTTTGACAGTATTTTTCCTCTAAAATCCGATGAAATTTTGTTGTTGAGTGCTAAAAAAAGCTGCGAAACAAAATTTTTTTTCCTGTTTCCATTCAAAACGACATTTGTTCTTGGGTTTTTCTTCTTCAATAAATTATAACGGTTATCAATTGTTATTGCTATTAAATGAATACTTGTTTTTGCTTTCAATAGGATTTCATAAAAAATAACCTTTGGTTGAAAACTTTGCTTTCATGTGAACAAAACTTCTATTATTAGATTTCCAGTTCTTGTTTGAAAAAAAAAACAGTATTTTTTTTAATTTTTTTCTTTGTTTTTTAGGTTTACTTTTTGTATAGGAATTCGTTTTATTATGTTTACTATTTATTTATTTATTTATTTTGAAGCTTTGTGAATGGTACAGAATAAAGAAAAATAACTGTATAGTTGATACATAGAGAACTCTTTGCTGTCGGACTGTACTGTTATACACTTCAAAGGCGCTAGATTGTCTTTAAGTTCTGTTAATTAGGTTTTTGGGCAATTGAAGAGTAGATTTTAATATATGTTGACAGTATCGATAGACAAAACTGTTAGTTTGAATTGTTGTCAAAATTCTGTATTGCCGTTGAATATTTAAATTTTTTTGATAACAGTGTAATGTTTAGCTACACATTTCTGATGATTCCCTCTTGTAATGATGTTTTTTAGGAGGAAACACTTTTGTAGGCGACAAATTTTCTAAATGATTAAAGCCATATTTTAGGTAATTGCTGATCCAATGCCGCTATCTGATTCTAAAGTATGTT